TTCTGTGACCATGTAGGGCATTGTGAAGCAAAATTCTGTGGACTTTGTGATTTTTCTTTGAGAGTTTGATCTGAAATCGCCCCTCAGCTCACAGCAGGTAAATGGTTTTGTCAAGGACTAAGGGCCGCATGCACTAACATCCCCGCGGGGAGGGGATCGCAGCTTCAGAAGAAAGCTTCATATCCTGAAGCTCCGGATATCTGGATTTCACGCTGTCTACCTATCCGTAAGTATTCCTACTACCCTTCACTATGAACATGTTGAACAGGAGCGAGAAGCTGTACAAACCGCATTTTCCAGCTTTTGTATGATCCCTGATGATCCCCGGCGCTTTTCTTTAAAGTCATTTTTCTTTCTCCGAAGTTAACGAAAACCTTCCAAAGTTGTACTGAACATCTAACACAATACTGGTAAGCATGTTGCTGATAAGAACAAATGAGTTTTCGAAAAGTCGAATTTTTCGGTAAGCCTCAAATTTCGACCTGTGGATCATCGAAAATTTCATGACTTCAAAACATCATTTGTACTTATCACGAACATGCTTAGCACTGTCGGGTTGGACAATCTGCACAACTTTGGAGGTTTTTCGTTAACTTCGGAGAAAGAAAAATGACTTTGAAGAAAAGCGCCGGGGATCATCAGGGATCATACAAATGGAAAATGCGGTTCGTGCAGCTTCTCGCTCCTCTTCAACATGTTCATAGTGAAGGGTAGTAGGAATAGTTACGGATAGGTACACAACGTGAAATCCAGGTATCTGAAGTTTCAAAATATAAAGCTTTCTTTTAAGCTGTGATCCCCTCCCCGCTGGGATGTTAGTGCATGCGGCCCTAAATGAGTATGCGGGGATCCACTAACTATCGGGGGGTGGGGGGGGGGAGAGGTACAAGGGTCATGGGGGACTTTGTAAAATTATGGAAAGTCAGAGGTTTAAGTTTCGTTTTAAGCCTAGAAACGGAGTCGTGTCGGGCCCGGATCTGGTTCTTTCAAATTTTTTCGAACTTCGCGTGGATCGAACCAGGTGCAAATGTGGAAGCACCGCTCTGTAGAGTGTTTACTTGGCTCTATTGAATGGTCCGCACTCAATTCAGAATGTAGGAGAAATATGACTTGTTAGGTGATACTTATGTATCAACCCAATCTTTGGCGAATTGTTTATCATTAGTAACGTGTTCGAATTTCATCCTTTTATAGCAAACCCATATAGCATAACTCCAAAGTGAAGCTATAGATGATCCAAATTGCACGGACTCTAGTATGTGCATGTAGTCATGTATGTATTTTTGTAATAGGTTGTCCGGAAAATAATGTCGCATCGTGTTTTATCATGCAACTAGCTGGCTTACCCGGCTCCGCCGTATGTTCCGAATAGAAAATTCCATTTCTTAACCGATTCGGACCAAACTTGGCACACATACCCTTCGGGCCCCGGCGGGTGTCACAGTCCACTTTTCGTTATCGATCGATGTCAATTTTATCGATTTTTTGCAAAATTTGAGCTAGGGGGCTGGAATTTGGCAGGGGGGTGTAATCGAGCATGCTGATCACCCCCACGGGGGTGATCAGCATGCTCGATTACCCCCCTGTGCCAACTCCCAGCCCCGTAGCTCAAATTTTGCAAAAAATCGATAAAATCGATATCGATCGATGACGAAAAGTAGCCTATGACACCCGCCGGGGCCCGTAGTGTATGTGTGCCAAGTTTGGTCCCGATCGGTTCAGAAATGGAATTTTCTATTCGGAACATACGTACACACATACAGACATACAGACATACAGACAGACAAACAGACATTCAGCTTTATATATAAGATATCGCGGCAGGGTGAGTACGAAAGTAGTAAATGGGGTACCAACCGCTAAACCAAAGCAAGCTCTTCAAAATAAAGTTCGAAACTTCGCGCTAACCTTGACTTGCGTGAAGTTTGGAGCCAAATTTCATAAGACGCCAAAGATCTAAAAAAGCGAAAAAAAATTGTATCTCCGTTCAGAAAGATCCTAGGGAATCCTAATTGCTCATGCATGGACTCACTATGCCAGACACTCGTATGCACGTGTTCGTGGATTTTCCATAGCAGGAAATTGAAAAACGAAGTTTGCCAAGTTTTTGCCAGGCTTTCAAGAAAAATCAGATTGTTTGCAAAAAACCCGAAAAACGCGACATATTCGCACTTTTGCCCTATTTTCGTTAGTCATAGTGTAGCCATGGAAAAATGCACAAACTTACAGGTGAATGTCTAATGTGGAGAGTACATGCCTGTGCAAATGGAGTGCCCTACGACGTCTATGGACGGAGATACGATTTTTCGTGTATCTAAATTTTTTATATTTTGGATTCGAACTTCAGATGGAGCAAGATTTGCAAAATATCTTGTAGAGCTTACTTTACAATATCAAATGACACCTCATTCGCTGTTTTCTGCGGTCACCCCGTCACCGTAGGATGCCATGCGACATGATTTTCCGGACAACCGAATATAATGTGTGTTCTTGTTTTTTGTGTGCTGTACAGGAAAACCGACAGGATAACACATCGCTTTGAGATGTAATAAACATTAGATTGGGGACTAATTTGCAGCTCCTACACAACTTCCTCTTTTTGATTATGACGCAAATTGTAATACGATATACATCATTACTGAACCATCAACTGCACAAACTGCTTGATTTCTTAAAACGAGATAAAAACTTGGCCCAGTCTTCAAAAACTGGTGTGTTTCGACGTTTCGCGGGCTTGGACCATGAAGGTCAACACATCACGCCGAAACAGTGAACAGAATGCTGCAGTTCTACTCGCTGAGCTCAGTAAAAAAGGAAAGGAAGTTGGCAACTAGTTGTAAGATCAGTCGTTATCGAGAAGTCAACCGAGTGCTATCTGCTATCCGTCAGTAACTGAGGAACTAGACACAGAGTATGTCAAGACCTTGCACCAGGGCTCGGCGCGATGGCACCAATGAATTTAAAACGAAGTCCCGTCTGATCTTGAAAATCTCGTAAGAAGTCCCCTTTGACCTGTTTTGAAGACCCGTCATTGATTTTAGATTATGTAAAAGTATGTAGTAAGGTTCTCATGCATGCTGATTTCATGAAACAACTTTTCACAGCTTTCTGAGCTTTTTAAGTGGTTGAATCACATCTTGAGAAGCAGAAAAGCCCATTTTTCGACTGCGGAGCAGACCGAATAATTTTCAGATGGCTATAAAACGCTGAAAAGAAAACATTATGAAATTGTTTCTTCTCTGTATGTAAGTTTTTACAGTATAGATGCATTTTATGTAAATAACTATGGAAACTTATGTGAGCAAAGTGTCGGTGCCAGCTGAGCTGGCACCCAGCTGGCACGGTGCCAGCTAATTCAGAAAAAAGTACAGCACAGCTTTCATTCACATAAGTTTTCATAAATTTTTGGGCCATAGTTCGGGTCCCCAACGCGCATGCACCAAATTGGGTGTCATACTATTGCGTTTTGGCTGAAAACAACACCTATGTTCAAATGATGGATAGCATGCCGGTGGCATGCCGGCGGCATTCTTGCGGCTCTTCTCTGCCCCGGAGCGGAAAAACGATATCCCCTTTGCTTTCCGCCCTATAACGATATTCAGTTTGACCCGGTGCCAGCTGTGCCGCGCCCTGTTCCGGATACATGGAGTGCCCTTTCCTCAACCCCGCTACATGATCGAGGCTATCTCATCAAAGGGGAAGAGAATTAGAAGAGTGAGATTGAAATTGAATTTTGAAGAAAAAGAGTCGAAAACGGCCAAAAATCTCCAACTCCCGCCGCTCAAATCATGCAGGCGGCTGCAGCGCATGCAGCAAGTTCCGGCACAGTTTCAGCAAGTGCGAGATCTGTGCTGGAACTGTTTCGGAACATCCGGATCAGTATAAAGCCAGCCTTTCATTACACCAAATGTGATCTTGGATGAGATGACATTGTGGAAGGAAAGTGTACAGTGATCCTGATAAAAACACTATAAAACGATAGGATCTACTTTCCTCCCAAATCTCGAGAAAATTCCCGAAAATCTCGCTTAGAGCGGTTACGGCTAAACATACGCTGATAAATTGGAAATTTATTTGGAAAAATTATAGGTCTGAAACCGCAGCTATCTATGATTTTGCCCCGAGCCGCTTGCTAGCGAACCGTAAGGTCGCTAGTCATATATAAAGCTGAATTTGTTTTTGTCTGTTTGTCTGTCTGTCAGGCTGTCTGTCTGTTATTACGTATGTGCGGAATAGAAATTTTTATTTCTGGACCGATTTGGACCAAACTTTGCACACATATGCTTCGAGGCGGGGAGAATGTTGTAAGTTACTTTTCGCTTCGAACGGTATTGATTTTAATTTTCATCAATTTTTCACAAATTTGAGCTACAGGGCTGGCAGTTGACAAGGGATGAGGGGTAAGTGAGCATGCTAATTACGAATACAACTAGTATTTAGAACTGCCGATATTTTTACTGATTTTATCGATTTTTTAAAGCTTGAGTTGAGGGGTGAGAGTTGGTACAGAGGGTAAGTGGGATGCTAATTACGAAAACAAAATGGGAAAAAGCAATAGACATGTATGGAGTGGGCGCAGGGAAAGGTTGTACAGGAATAAGGATGGTAACCTTCATTGTGGTGTTTTGACAGGGCCACGCGAAGCTGGGTATGCCAGCTAGTAACATATTACAAAGCACGGGAGACGAGTGGCGCAGCGGTGTGAGGCGCTACTACGACCAGATCGGACCTAGGTTCGATCCTGCAAGTGAGCCAGCCAAGTCCTCTACCCTTCGGGTACCGATAAATTGGTACCAGAGTAATAGGGAGGACAAAAGCACTGACTTGGTATTCGGCTGGCCCCGCGAATCACTGTACCAAGCCCGCAATCATTCAGTAGCCTCTTGACCGGGAAAGCGAGTGAGTCCAGTGCATGCTCGGAGAGAGTATCGAAAACGCCAAATCCTTCATTCCTTATCCTTTATATGGCAGAGCACAACGACGAGTAAACATTTATTTACATCAAACTGCACATATTTATCAATAAGCTCACAGTGTAAGAGTAAAAACACAAATAATTCGTAAACTTGGCAAGAAATCGCAAAAATAGTTCCTTGTTCTGCTTTGTAACAAAAAAGCTTGAGAACTTCAATTGGCAACAATAATGATGTTGGGCAGAAAAAGGTAGAAAATCGAACTTCTTAGGAGAAGTCATAGCTCTGGTGGCCTTTCCGCTCTGAAACAAATTAGATGAAGTGCTATGCTACAAACTCTATCATTCTGCAATTGTGTTTATCTTCACGAGTCGATAACCAAGATTGGTAACACACACTCTTTATTACTCTGGCTAACTTTCGCAGCCGTCACGGAGTCGTCAGCCTGGAGGGTCTTATGGTCTCCCAGATTCGTCTGGAGGCGGGTTGAGGACTTCCCTGATTTTCAGGACAAGCTTGTTGAATCTCCACGTTGTAGCATTGTATTTCGTACTGCCTCGTTAAGTTTATCCTCAAAATCGGGCGGTCCTCAATCCACCTCCACACGAATCTGGGAGCCGATCAGGGTAGAGGAACGAACGCCTCAATGAGGCATCGCCTCCGCGGGCTGCTGGTCCTTTCGTCCTACTGTTGTGCATCGTGTTGGGACCAGTGGTCCGCGGAGGCGGTGCCTAATTGAGGTGTTCGTTCCTCCACCCAGCCGATCATACTATTTATTGACTTGGACTCCCAAAAACCTCGTCCAAGCCAAGATTGAACTCATTATTGGGAGCACAAGTCGCTAAAGAGTATGACCATTCAGACTCCGACGATGGTGACGACGACGCAACGTCAGCCTGAATAATAAATAGTGTTATCAAGCTTGTTTATTGGCTCAAGAAGATAAAAACATTTACGAAGTTATAGTTCAAGCCAAGATTCATCAATAATCGAGCTTGGATCTATGATCTAATAATGGAGTCTATACTTTTGATTCCTGAACTGAAAGAACCATCACCGGAAGGAAACTCACTTATTCGGCAAATCCAACGTACGAAACAAGTGAGTATGGTGATAAGAATAATAGCAACAATAACAGCAACGCCTATGATAACGTGAAGTTGTAGATGCATACAGCAGAACATGTTCTCTTCACCGCAACAAGCATGATATGTGAAGAAAGTTGCTGAAAAAATTGCTTAAATTATTCCTTAGGATTGGTTGGATCTTGACACAAAATTTCGCTGTTTGTCCAACATGTTTTCCCACTTTTGATTTTTTTTGAAATAATAGGATCATCCATGGAATATAATGATAATCGCGCTTCTCGTTGTTTTCTCATGTTTTTTTAATTTAGTTACCAAATCGCTTGTGGAATATTCCATGGATGAATAATAATAAGTGATGACGAGTTTAAGGATTTGCGGCGGAGAGGAGGTGGTCAACGCAAGAAAAAAAGTTTTTCTGATCCCTCGGAGTTCCGCTAAACACTTGGCAAATGAGCCTTATTTAACACATTGACGACCAAGGCGTTTCACGGAAAAATCAACATTTTCTAGATAAAATCACGCACAATTCCATCTACAATATATCTACAGTAACGCTGGAATGCTGACCAAAACAGTAAAGGTTATACATCTTCAAGTAGATTGTTTACGGCTTAAAACGACTAAACAGTAAAGGTTGTGTTTAGATCCAGCATAAAAGAAAACACCCGGGTCGGGTTTGACACAAAATAGTAGCCATTTCAACGACAAATATGGTGTGTTAAGCCTTGACACACCATGTGTGTCAAGCGGTCGTCAGTGTGTTGAAGAGCTAAAAATATGGAACTCGCCGTTCACATAATCCTGGATTCTTCCACTTCCTGATGTTTTGAGCAAACTCGAAAAATTCAAAACTTTGCAGCAGAAACCGAACAGTCATCGTATTAGGTTAAGACATAACTTCGTTCGCAAACTCTCAGAACATTGCAACTTCTTTATTTTGTAATTTATATGATTTTTGGCAAAAAATTCATTAAATAGAGGGAATTACGTACTTTTTAATCGGTTTTGAGCACCCCTCAATATGTGCAGAAGGCGAAACTAAAAATCCAAGAAGAAAATTACTCGTGTTTAATTTTAAGCTTGCTGGAAATCTAAGAACAATGCAATAAAATTCGGAATAGTTACCGGCAGAGGTTTTAGGACCTTAATTCTCTAGTTAAGCTAAGTTTAGGCTGATCGAGCGTTTCCATGGGAAGTAATTTTGAAGCAAAATGAGAAGAAATTAATTTCGCTTTTGTGCTATTTTCTCAAAAATAACAATTTTTATGAAAGCGCTCATTCAGCATAAACATAACTCTGTTAGAGCTGTTCCGGAGTTGCTTGCAATGTTTTTAGATTTTTAACATGCTTGCTTGAAATTACTAAAGCTCGACTTTCTTCTCCAATTTTTACTTCCGCGATCTGCGCATACTGAGATACAATCAAAACGTTATTAAAAGTACATGCTCCTCTTTACAATGAATTTATTGCCATGCTTCATACATTGACACATAACCTTCACTTTCTTGGTTGGCAAAGTTTCAAATGTTTCCTCTACATATTAACTTTTGAGGATTCATGAACAAAGTAATTCTACAGTTGTACTGTTCAATGATGACCACTTTTTAGAGACTCAATCACACAAACTTTCTCAAATGAAATAGGTTCAGAGAATTTCTCGTCTTTAACCCATAAGCAAGAAAAATGGGGCAGAATGGAGTACAATTTTTCGAGGGGCACGCGGAAGGCGACAATGCGCGCAGATTGCAAGCAGTGTAAAATCGCTCTTACTAACTTTTGCAGGATTTTACTTGTGGCATCGACTTATGTATCTGCCCCCCCCCCCCCACCCCTAACTTGGCGTCGTGTCACTTTAGCGCCGACAAGTTTTGAAAGGCACAAAATTTGGGGATTGTCGCCTTCCGCACCTTACCCCAGAAATGGTGCGAACGAACATGGACTGGCCTAATATATATAGCCGTACTGTACGGGTATGTGCAATTCTGCGTGCCGAGCCCTGGCCGTTACATCTTATAGGGAGAAAACGGAGCAAGATCATCAAGGCCGTTTACTTTCTGAAGAACATTCGAAAAGTATGGTGGCAATTCCAATACGACAGTCGCTGCTGCGTTAATTAACCAAAACTATAAAATCACTTTAGTCAACGCAAAAGGATGTTTTCAAAGGAAAGGTAACTAAATAAATCTGCTTATTCTTTACAAAAAAAAACCGCGGTCACACGATACTATAAAATTTGAATTGACAGGTAACATGAGTTTATTTTGTCTAGAGCTGTTAAATTTCGGCACTCCCACGGCGACAACAAGATAAATTGCTTACACAAAGATCTCATGTGAGACTTGTTCTGTACTTTTGAGAAATGTCGAGATCCAAGAGAGGAAATTGAAAGGTAAGTTCTCGGAAGTTTTTCCTCTCACCAGTGTTTTTACATTTTTAGTCGATCAAACATTGCTGCATACTGTTGACATTATAAAGCTTGTGTCGTTTAACATATCAAACGCTTTTCTTTTCGCTTTTCAAATATCTCTTGAAAACATTGGAAGTACATACGGGCATCACAGCTACTTGTAGCACTTTCTGGCCTTGGACAATGAACTCGTCGATCCTCGTCTGTTCCATTTGACAGTGACATTACTGATGTAGGGAGCGGTAGAAGTGCCAAGAGTACTGGCAACATGCTGTAAAAAAACAGGGTGCATTTTGTAAAAATGAAGATCGGCAAGGTGGCAAAATTGAGCAGTATACGTTGGTTGAAAAATTTTCAAAAAAAAAATATTTGGGAGAAAAATCTACAGGTGAATGTGACTTTTTTCTGCAGTTTTGCAGAGAAGTTCGCACGAGCAAAAGTCACTCTGTATCAATGAACAGTTTGAGGATACCAGTTCGTAAAACAAAGTGATCAGTCATTCAAGTAAAACTTTCGCACTTCCATATTACGCGCGAAGTGCAGCAGATAGACGGCGGCAGCGACTAAAGTGCGAAAGTTGTTGGATTGCGGATTCGCTATTTCTATAGATGTAATTTTTCGCAGTTCGGTCAAGGGCAAGCACGGATCATCGAAATTTTGTGATTTATTGAGTGTCATAAACCCTGGAAGGAAGTGAAGAGATCTATGACTTAGAATCTGAGACAATCGAGACGGGAATAGCGTAAACCATGCTTATCCAGTCTGAGACCTTGGTCAGATTTAAAGAAATAGAAAGTGAGAGTCACGGCTACATCATCAGACGACTAATGAAAATTGTATACAAGAGTTTAAAAAGGGTGCTCAAGTCGCTTTCCAAAGACTAGCTTGCGCAGCGGACGCGTGCGCGTCATCCCATCTTTCTAACGTGTATTGATCGGTTGGTGCGTGCAGATGCGGTGCGTGCCTTCAAGAACAACCACTTCAGTTTTTCTCGCAACTTAAAACTCTTTTTCACATTCAATTAAAGCACATCACCATTACGAGATTTTCAATACCCTAGCGAGCACTGTTGGAGTTGTCAGAAAATGCAAATAGAACTTTAGTCAGATTCAGGACAGCTGAGATAAGCAATCTGTTTTATCGTCAGGAACAGTAATGAATTTTCACCAAGAGTCCAAAGGTGTTGATCGGGTTATCAAAAATTGGTTTGAACGTTACGCGTGCGTTATGCCACATATCTAGTGCGTATTGATCGATTGTTGCGCGCAGATGCGGCGCGTGCATTTCGAAAGTAACCACTTCATGGTTCTAGTATGTTTACCATCGCAGATTTTTTTCCGAAATTGAAGGACATTATCGTAAATTAGGTTAAACCATAGCAAGCCCGTTTCGGAATGAAAGTTACAGATGAAAAATCGAGTCGTGGATCTCCAGCAAAGGTGAGAGAAAGTGATGAGATGGAAGAGATAAGCGGAAATCGGAAGGTGTGCCTCGTAAACCCAGATATTACGAAGTGTGGTAAAATCCACACCAAAATTAGTCCAAGATTCATATACTCTATAAATATTAAGGGTATGATCACCACTATTTTTTTTCGGTCTCATTGCTACAATTAGAATGGATTGGCTAATTAGGGCTACCACCTCGGATGCTTTTGCGACTAGATTCTCATGTCCTTTTCAATGATCGTCTCTAAATTTACACACTCATGCACGAGTTTACTTTCCGAAAACAAGTTTCGCCTACATAAAAACTGTGGGAGTAGTGGAAGAGAAAGTAGAATGCAAGCAGAGTAAAATCAAAAAAAGGTACAATTGGTTTCATGTAAACTTCTTTTTTCTGACAAGTTTGAGATTTTTTTGAGAGTAAAAGAAGTTTCAACAGGACAGAAACTTTGTATTTTTATAGTGTACTGTTATAGAAGAGCAATTCACAACGATGGTTTTAGCGGCGGAAGCTAGCAAATAATTAAATAAATGAATTCTTTTACCAAAGCTTCTTCCCCTCCCCACCCCCACCCCCGTACTCTTTCTTCTTCTCCCGCAGTGGTATATTTTTTTCATATGTAATATGCACGCAGTAGCAGCGCAAATACACGAACAATTCCAACAAAAGTAAGGTGAACAACATTTTAATTAGACTTCAATACTAGTGGCGGTCGCAGGATTTCCGTTCGGGGATAGGGAACAAAAAATTTTTTGATGAAGGGCGTGGTGCCAACCACGTACTTTTTTGGTCCACGTCACCGAAGAATTTTAGGCTAGATTGAATTTTTCGAAATTTTTACGAATGATATTGATTACTTACAAGTATAATCAAGTCGCTCATGCGAACGGAGTTCAACTTCAAGTATTAAGATGATTTTCAATTTAGCGCCAAATTTGCGGCGTTAAAGTTTTGATGCTAGGTATCAGACGTTATTCTTTCTTCACTAAAATAGTGGAAAAATGAGAAAAACAGAAATAATAAATTGAGCAATTTGTGAGAAGTGTGGTTGTTCAAGCATATCACCGGTTAATTACGATTTCGCATAGTTTTTCACGGTTAGAATATGAAATACGATCAGAACAGATAAATGTCTTACTATTTTACAAGTGTAAATCCCCTGTAAACCCAACAGAATTATATTCAAACAAAGCTTTCCTAATGCTACCATTGCAGAAGAATTCAAGAAGATGCTACTGATTCCTAGTGAGCAGTAATCACAAAAAGAGATTTTTCAAAACTCACACCAAAAACACTCGATTTTTTACTCTGGAACCACGATATAGGCAACTTCCTGAAACACTGTGTATATCAAAGAAAAGCAACGAAAGATAAAGGGGCAGTAGACGTCTTACAGCTGGAAGTCAAGCATTTTCTCTCCCAATCACGAACTTATAATCTCGAGTGGTTCCACACACACCTTAGAACAAAGTCTACAGAACTCGTCATCATTAGTTCTGTTTTCAAGTAGACGCTCTTTGATTTTGCGCAAATAGCAGTTTAGGAAAGTGACGCCTAATAAACAAATGAGCATGGCGATAAAGGCAAAGCACAAATAGTAGAATGTGTTTGGTTATATGTCTGACCTTGCCTCAAGAAATTATGATCTGTGATGGTAAATTATGAACAAAATAGCATGTCGTTTTGAATACTGTTTATTACCTTTGATAAGTTCGACAATCTAAACCCACCTACTGCAAAATTAAAAGTAAAAAGAAAACAGATTTTACGCCTTATCATTAGAACGAAAAGCAACTCCTCATGTCTTCATAATATTTTTACATATTTATGATGCAGCGAAATTGTTGATTTCTTGAGAAAAATATAAGGAAGACATTCTTTATGCCTGGGAACGCTCCACATAAACCCGATTAGCACAATCTGAGAGCCTATGAAAAAGATTTTTCGCAAGAAAAAGGATGGGATTGTGCTAGCGAGACTGTAGATTTCTCTCATTGAGATTGAAACTGATGACTGCTAACATTAGGTTGCAACATAAGTTTTGTTACATTTTTAGGGAAAACCTTCATAAGTTTCCCCAAAGATTTTCTCTCACCTCCAAATTAAGTGGAGGTCTGTAACTTTTCAATATATACATGATACACGTGGAAAATCCAATTTTTGAATTTTTTGAAATGTTTCTGAATTGTTTTTGGCAAATTTCCAAGTTGCGTTATTAAACAGCCTAGACTTACAAGCTTCCCTCACATTAGTACTAATGTCCCTACGAATCCAACAAAATTCTGAAAGTATAAAAAATAAGAATGAGAGAATTTTTGAAGGCAAAAGAAAAAAATGGAGATTTGAGTGCCGTCACAAAATTGCCTTTATATGTACTGTAATCCATACCTATAAAGCCGAAAAGGATGCCAATAGAATACTCCTTTGTTTACTGATATGTGCCAAATATTAGATTTTGTCAAAATTTCTGGAGTTTTCGAGAAAAAAAAAGGAAAAAGTGTCTCAAAACTTATATTACAACCTAATATTATTTGGACATAATAAAATTTGGGTTTCTTTTTTGGCAAAGTGAAAAGGCGGGACTTTTTATGAAGTCATCCTTCTCAAAAGCATAAGATTCTTTTGAAAGCCAGAAAACTACAAAATAAACTTTTACAAACAGAATGTAGCCGAATGGTTTTCGCATCAGCCTGCTGCTAAAAAAAAACAGGAACTGCTAAAAAAACGGTAACATCTGGTGCGCGCGAAAGTTCTCAAGCAAAGAAAAACTCCGCAAAAAAGGCGAATGCTAAGGACAGTTCTTCGAAAGAAAAGTAGCCTTTGATGGAAGGAAAAGCCTTAAATTCATTGTTTTGTAGAATTTGATGTGAAGGTAATAGCAGTTCATTAAAAAAATTGTTTGTGGGCATTGCGTAGTCCTCTTTCCATAGAGGGAGGAGAAGATGCTGTTGAATGAGAAAGTTACAATCTTTCCCCATCACTTTTGTTCGGTCAATTTGTAGAGGACAATGCTCTATAAATGAACACACCCATACAGTTGAAAACACGCGCTTGCAAGGAAGAAAAAATGAACTTTGTATAAAGGAAGTCACTTTCATCTCCAAATATTCTACACTTGAGTACATCGTCAAGGCCATGAACATTCAAATGTGATGGGTCTGGAACGCCTGGACAAAGACATTGTGAATGGAAGTTACTCTTTCATGACTGTTTAAAAGAACAATGGGTCTTTTACGGCGTAATTCGAATTAGCCAAATTTTTTAGAAAACATGAGAAGTGAAAGCGTGGGATGCAATTGAAAGTCATTTCTCTACAAATTTCAACATAACGAGTAGCAAACCGCTTTTGAAGCCATTGTCAGAATGTATCTGTCTAGATTGCCATGGCAAGGTCTACGTTGTTTAGGAACATTGATTTTTTATGCGCCAGAAATAGGACTATCCTAGAATTCGCACATTATGTGGTTGGTTAGAAAATGATTTGCTTTCAATATACATTTACGAGACCCTAGAACTCATCAAATAGCTGCTAGATCAAATAATTGCAAGATCTTTTTGTAGGGAGTATTTTTTGTGAGGAGCAGTTCAGTCCTTTACTTCACACAATAATATAGATAATTCTAATCTATCATTGATACTTTTTTAAATTTCCCAAGCTAGGTTTTATGTCTCAAGATGTGCATACATCGATAATTCGGTAACTGGATATAATCTTTGGCTACGTGGCGAATGACAGTGAAGAATGTAGATCAAGAATTTTCTGACATTTAGGAGTGAAAGTCATGTTTTGGGCAGACCACATCTGTTGCGGCTCGGTGGGCTCA